TACAACTTAACCACTGATCTCTAGTCATGTCCTCTTTTGGAAGGCTGAACAAAGTAGTTTCGCTTTCACAACGAAGCACACAACGCCTCCACGACATGGCGGCGGCAACAATACTACAGCGAGAATAAAAGTTACGCCTTCTTTCTTTGTGTGAACATTTGGGCGGCGTAATGCACATCTTCCCACATCGTGACGTAGATATGTGGGGAGGTGTTAGAACGAGCTGTTTTAGGTAGGTTAGGTTAACTCAACTTTTATAAAGAATATCTTTTTGGATTTAAGACTTTAGTCTTTGCAACTTTACAGATCTTCTTTATGCACCAAGAGCTTGTAACACTCCAAAGAGAAAGGAAAAATTGAAATCGCATCATATGACCCCTTTAAAAATAAAGATTCAGAGATATTTATACTTTATAAAGAGCTGTGTTTTGGGGGATTCTGACACTTCTGTCTGTTTCAATTCAGTGTCAGGATCCAGATATTTATGCTCCATGTTTTTTGTGAGGTTTTTCATCCAAGTTTCATGTGCTTGTGTGTTATTTAGCACATTTGTTTTCACTGGCTACATGTTCTTGTATTCTCATGTCTGGAGTGAGTGCATGGCTCCTATCACGTTTATGTGCCTTGTGCAGTACATGTCTTGACCCTGCCTTCTTGTTATCACATTAGTTTAATTTGCCCCAACTGCCTTCCCTTGTTAGCCTCCTCACTTCCTTCCCTATGTATTCTCCCTGTGTGCACTGCTGTGCCAAATCATCTTCTATTGTTCCCAGTCTTGTGCTTTCCATGTCCCATTCAGCTTTGCCCTGCCTGGGTAGTTTTTGTTTGTTATTGTTTAGAATTTTTAAACCAAAGTCCATCTAACTCTGCACCTGATTCTTCACCATTCCACCTATAGTACTGAGTGTGGTTAATTAGTATTACTCAGTAATTGTTTGTGTAATTACACATAACAAGGACACCTTAAAATAAACTGTAACCAGAAAGTCATGCAGTTCTGGAATTACGATTACAGTTATGAATCAAAACACAAAAATGTTTATTATAACGTTGCTTAGTGTCAAAATGTCCAGCTATGGATGTTTGGACCTTTAAAAATCAAGGAAAAAATAAATAAATATATATTCAAAATGTCCAGCTACGGATGTTTGGACCTTTAAAAATCAAGGAAAAAATAAATATATATATATATATATATATATATATATATACAACAGCACTCTTGCTTGTATGATATTGCTTAATTCTTTTTTAAAGAGAATGAAAAGCTTGGGACGTTTAATACCTGCGGTTTGTAAACGGTCTCTGTCTTCCCCTGTATTTTCATAGCATTCAGCAGGCTCCTGTGAGCACGGCTCCTGTGCATTTGTGCCTGTGTTTTCGTAGCATTCTCCAGACGAGGTGCAGGATGACTCAAACGAGTCCACTGTGCGAGAGGTGATGACAATACTCATTGTAGCCTAATCAAAGACTTTTGTATGTAATTTAATAATATTAAAGACCTCTCTTCAGTCAATGGGTTGTTATAAACAGTTCTCACCACTTGTAGCAGACCCACGCATCTGCTGTAAGTTATGATCAGAGATTTGCTGGTATCCTCCCACTGTGACCTTTGCTGGGACAGCTGAGAGCAAACTGTGTTTACAATCTTTTTCAACTGCTTACACACATTTTCAAAACTTTGCCTCTTTTTTTTCAAAGCTTTACACACAAATCCAAGAATTGCACACACAAAATGCAAAATGCTTCACATCTCTTGCAAAATGAAGCACTGCATTCAAAAAAACACATCTCAAAAGCAAACACCTTTGCCATAATATTAATTCCTGTTAGATTTGTGTGTGATACATAGAGAATTGTGCGTTGTGTTTTGCAAAAAGTTTTTTTTTTTAACTAAGTCAAAGGCTGAGAATTAGTGTATGTTTTTGCAGATCTGGTGTGTGCTTCTGGTGTTTGAGTGTCAGCTTTCAGAAATTGTGTGACAAGTAAAGATTTTGTTGATAGAAACTGTAAATACATTCGGATGATCTGTTATCTGCCTATGCCAGTTTGTTAAGACTATTTATCCACAATGTTATACTTTAACATGAATCGATTATTTTAGCACTCGAGTCAACTCCTGTGCTCAAACCCTTCCGTTATGGACAGGACAAATGTTTACCTATAGCACATAAGGCTTATGAATTAAATTAATTAGTGACCTTATGAAATGACATTTTGATGAAAGAGTTTTTCAAATGTACATAGAGTCGATTGAATTTTTATTTCATGTTGATGTTATATTGGATAATAGAAATAAAATTGAAATTAAACAATGTGGAACCTTTTCATTCTTACCTTCCTCCATCACACTGTTCAGGTTTGTGACCTTCACAGCAGGCCTTTTACCATCTGCACTGTATCGCATTGAGTCTAGAAGAGAAAGAAGAGAGCAGTCTCCTTACAGTACTGCTTACGTGTTTTCAGTTTTATCTCATGTCATCTACAGACAAATCAAATCTAGTATGGATTTTACAACACTTATTGTTCTGACATGCAGTAGGTGAGACCGGGGATGGGATTGTAACAAATTTAGCTTTAACCTCTGTAAATTATTGAATGTTGCAATATTTAGGTCTATTTTAAGTTATTCATCTGTGCACACAATATTTTTTTTAAACCATGCATGCGCCCTTGAAATCTTTAATCAAAGACATCACCATGGGCTATTATGATAATATTATATGATGGAGATTATGACTTTGAGATTTGTAATGCTTTGTTATATTCATTCTGTTCTTATTGACACTAAATAACATTAGTTAAATTTAATTAAGAAATATTTGGTATACATAGAAATTTACATAAGCCAAGATTTGAAAACATTTTAGAAGTAGTGCACTTTTAGTGTTAACTATTGTGTAATGTTAATATGTTATCTTATTTCAGCGTTACTGCTGAATAAACAGCTGGCAGACACAGACTAACCTTAGACGATCATGCATTTTCCCAGCTAACCCTAAACTAACTTTTCTGAACTGAATAGTAAAAAAAACTGCTTCTGTTTCTCTGGCTCCTGGTGTCTTCACTGGTGACTGAAATCTCAATATTTGTGAACTGATCAATCAAATTGTACTATATATTTTACTAATCAAAGTTTCAGCACCAAGCTGTCAAAATGACTCATTTTCTGCTTCTGGGTTTTTATCACATAATTCTTCAACGCAAGAGTGCCTGTTGTCCCATTTGGGCAGCTGTAACAGTAAAAACGGAAAAGCAGTTTTCAAAAGAGTTGTAAGACTTATTTAATATGCAAAGATGTTACCCAATCATAGCAGTTGGCATTTGCATTGAAGTTTTAAAAGTGACCCATGCACTCATTTCAGTGTTCAATTCAGAGGGCTAAATTTAGAGTAGAAAACGGCCATTTTCTGATGTAAAAATCCTACTGATATTATAAGTGCATCATAACAACAGTCCCAAACATTATGAAAGAAAAAGTCCATGACCCCTTTAATAACTATACTTATAAAGTGCATTATTCTTAAAAACTATGTTTATTATGAACATTTTATAAGATCTTTGCATCATGTGAGGCTTGTCTCATTTTCATTTTAAATCAAAATTATTATTTTATTTTTTTTACAGTCGTTTGCACCGTGCTCCTTTGTCACCTACCTTATATTTTATTTTGGTGCGTCAGTCTATTAGATTACTTAGTATATAAGCCATGATGTCGTTTTTTAGCGATTTACTTTGCATGTCCTATCGGTGATCAATGTAAAATAAAACGCTAAAAATAAGACTATTTTGTGAGTGCGGACCCAGGTTTTATATAAATTAATTTTTTGAATGCTTTTTACTGGCCAATGATGATTCTGAAATCACTGGTGATCCACTGAATCTGAATTCTGTATCCTGTTCTTTTCAATGCCTGTTTTTTTACATTTATCAATATATAAATTACATGGTGAGCTAAAAGAAAAATGTATATGGTTGAGAAAAGACCATATATTGGCTAATTGTTTTGCCTTTTCATATCATGTCTGTTGTGAAAGGGCCTTTACACCAGTAAAAAATATGCATTACTTTATGTAATTAGTTACTTTTTTTTAGTGAGTAACACAATTTGCTTTTGAAAGTGACTTTCCTAACACTGCTAACAATTTTATCCCCGTACCTACAACCATCCCGGCTCTCTCCTGCTTTCTGAGTATTGTCCTTAACACTTAACAATGACTAACTTTGAAAAGTGGATAAAGGAAAAGCCGTTTCTGGACTGATGTCATGTTGCTCATAGTCTGTGTCATACGATCCACTCTCAACGCTACTCTGAGCCCAGAGACGCTGAGGAGATACGGGAACTACAAGGGCACAGAGAAAACAATTTACAAATACAGAAAACAAACGTGGAGCATCTGTCATCCACGTAACATCAGCACAGAGTAAAACACACTCACCATCTGCATCACTGCTGTTGTTTGTGACTTTGACGAGATGCACAGAATCTCTGTAGTGGTTTTCCTCTGCTTCGGCCGGGGCCTGCAGGTTCATGTATCTCTTCTGGGCCACAGCAGCTAACAACAACAAGGGGAAACACACAACTGACTCGGTTGTAAATTTCATGGTATTTCTTATTTTTTTATTTATTCATTTTGCTGTTGATTATGGACATGCTCTTGACAGGGTTTGTGAGATTCATCTAAATAAATGTATTGATGGGTCCACAAGATTTTCTGCCAACAGTTCATTGAAAGAGTTGTGCGTTGAGGTGTTGGGCCGTAGGTTTGCACCCACCTTTCTTCTTTTTATTATGATGACACAAGAGGATATTTGTGATAACTGCAATCAAAAGAATGAAACCAAGAACAAAACACCCCAGTTGCTCTGAAGTCGGGAAGAATCCAGGTGGTTTGTTCATTGTCGTAGTCACTGGATGAAAGAAAGAGCCCCAGACATGATGAAAGAGTGATGCTTTGCCTTAAATTACACACCATTCGCATAAAATGTTATCTAATTTTCAAGTTAACTTTTGTTTTTCTTCAAATGTATTTTTTTTCTCTGCACAGCCTAACTGTGATTGTAGTAGATTCCCTTTACAATCTATTAAATTAGGGGAACTTTACAAATATTGCTTTTGAATCAGCTTCCGCTTTAGGATTGTTAGAAAGGCTCAGGATCACCTGTGGTTGCTGGTGCTGAGGTTGGTTGTGGACTGGTGGGAACAGGCAGACCAAGAGAATCTGGAAAAGAAGAAATGTTTATCTTAAAGCTGTTTTACACAGGTTTTCTCTGAAATACCTCTGTGCTGCTCCAAACTCACTTTAGAGTCTAGTGTTAAAGGCAGCTCTGTGGCTGCTTCGCTTCCGTGTAAACGGGCAGCCTTACATTTTGCAGTTATCGTAACATACAGTGTTGTGCAAAAGTCTTAGGCCACTGGTACTTTCACCAGCTAAAAAGTGTTTTAAGCCAGTTATTTCTATCTTTTGCTGTAGTGTGTCAGTA